CCAAACCTCAGCATCACATCCCCAGCCTGCACCTCAGTATCACATCCCTGTGCCCAAAGCTCAGCATCACATCCCCCAGCTGGTACCTGAGCATCGCTTCTGACTCTCTGACGATCTGGGCTATGTCACTTTTGTGGATCTTCTGCTGCACAAGCAGCTCATGGGCTTTGGTCCACCTGTATTTGATGAGGGAAAGGCAGTGACAGAGCTGCAGGCAGAGTCACAACAGCTAAACCCTGTGGGATCCCTGCCAAGGCCAGGGATGATTCAAGCCCCATGTCCTGTATCCTCAGGGACAAGAGGTTGTCAGGACAAGGCCTCACCACAAACAGCACTCACCACTCCACCATGAGGGGACGTTTCTCTTCCAGGGTCCGGTTGGGATCTATTTCAATGGGATAGTAATAGTGGAGCAGATCCTTCAGCTGGAGTGTCACACAGAGGGAAAAGGAACAAAGTGAACATCAGCTCTAAAGAGACTAAACAAAACTAGCATTTCTGAAGTTCTCCAAAGCATTGCTCTTCCCAAACACAACCAAAACCTTGTCACTGAGCAGTTTCCCTCAGAGCACACCTGGAACTCTCAGCAGCCTGGCTGGCCCTCACCTCACTCCAAGTGCTGCAGGTACAAACAGCCCTCCCTTCTTCCTCTTATCAAACTGAAATACCCACAGCTGCACATGCAAATTTGAGTTCCCTTTTTAAATTCTCCTCTGTCACTGCTGGCTGAAATGCAGCCTGGACACTTTCTCACTCCATTCTGGCAGCCACCACAGCTGGGAGAGCTGCCACAGCAGCCCTTGTGACCTCCCAATGACAGGTGACAGGTACAACAGCCACCAAGCCTTACACACAGCACCCACCTTCTTCTTGCCATCCTCGCTGATCACACGGCTGGTATCAAGGATGTCTGCAAAGAAAATAAAATGATGTAGCACAGAATCATAAAGAGGCTTTCTACAGCACCTCCCCTGTGTCTCAGTGCTGGCTGCTCCCAGTACAAGCCGTGGTGACACCGTGACCTGAGCACAGGCTCGCTGAGGGGTCCCAAGGCAGTGGCTCCCACTCTGAGCCCCTGAGCAGCCTCGGTGCCCGTGGGCAGTGGGATGAAGGCAGCCAGCCCAGGAGCTGGCTCCTGGCTCCTGCAGTGGGCAGCTGGCACCAGGCAGCGAGGCCCAGACCTGCGAGGGGACAGGACAGAGCGGCCAGGCTTGGCAGAGGAGGGTACAGGGGATGACAGGAACCACATCAAGTACAAACACAGAAACCAAACAGAACAAGCAACAGTAAAAACAACGGCTTCCACTCACTGTGAGACGTGGGGCAGCGCCTGCCATTGCAACCAAACCTGCTCAGCGTCATGTCAAAGTCAGAAATGACCTGGAAGAGGGGAGAAAAGCACAAAGCTCGTCCCTCCGTGACCCAGCACGTTCTGCGCTGCCCAGAGTGAGCCCAAGGTGCTGCCACCTGCGAGAACTCGCACCCAGCACCGCTGATCTCCCGTGGCCACCCCTAGCAGCCACGAGGCAGACAGATGATGTGCTCACCCTCCCACCCCGGAGCTCTTATCGCCTTCATCCCGCCTGGGCGGAGCAGGGCCCTGGGACCGGCGCACAGTTAATGTCCGTAACCGGGAGCCCAAAGGTCGGTCCGGAGGGAGCCACCAGCCCCTTTCCCCCTCTCCTCGGGGGCTTCTCCTTCTCCAGCCGCAGGTGCTTCCCCGCGGGGCTGGGAGAAGCCGAGCAGGAACCGGGGGACGAGGAAGGGGCGGCTAAGGAAAGGACGGAGCAGCGGTACCTGCAGTTTGGCCACCCCCTGCTCCCGGAGGGAGCGGATGATGCTCCGCACCCGCTCGGGCTGCCGGATCCGCACCGTGCCTTTCTCCAGCTCGGGCACCTGCAGGCAGAGACCCCGCTCGGTGCCGCCCGGAGCCCCTCCCCAGCTCCGGGGGCACCGAGACCCTCCGGGCCCCTCTGTCCCCCGGTGTGGCCGCGCTCCCGGCCCGCAGCCCCGCTCTCACCATCTCGTTCCGCTCCGTTCCGCTCCGTTCCGTTCCGGGCCGCGCAGCCGCGGGGCGGGACCGGAACGCGGGGCCCGGGGGCGCCGGGCGGGGCTCCGGCCGCGTTCCGTGGTTGCTGCGGGCGGAGAACCGGAGAATCCTCCCGTGCTCCGCCCCGCGCCCGCTGCGGCTCCTGGCGGTTGAGTTTCCCAAGCGACGAGCCGGGAAGGCGAGATATAATAAATAAAATAAATAAATAAATA